CATCAGAGCAGTTTTATATATATATATATATATATATATATATATGTATTGAGCATTTCACAACAAGCAAGGCGGGATGACACTTGTATTGTACGCAAAGGTTACAGAGTGGGTGCGAGAGTAAAGAGGCGTGATAGAGGAAAGGATGAACAGAATGACAAGGAATATGTCAGAACATCTGGAAATGTCGATTGACATTACATTTGAATTGTTGAAGATTATGGCTAGCAAGGAAACAAGTAATAGGAAAGGAATTGCCAAGATGGGATGTAGGTGCCATGAAGCTATTGTAGTGACGGCCACTTTTAATCGTTTCGATAGTGAAATGTTGGGACCGTAATGCCAGCCTAGTAGCACGCTTAAATTCATGCAGTCAGGTAAGTAGCGAAAGTAGCTCGTCGAAGCAGTTATCGTGAAAATATTTGTAGAAAAAGATAGAGCGAGGCGACGACAAACCTCAGAGAGCGACTATATATATATATATATATATATATATATATATATATATATATATATATATATATATGATGGACTCTCCCGTCGGTTCCGAGTTATGAGGATCTGGCAGCTTATTGATTCAGTTATGAAAGTTTGTGCGATAATCTTACGTGGCATTTAAGACCCGCTAGTGATTTACAAATGAGGCCACATATGAAGCAAGTGTGAGGAAAGTGAGATAAGATCACTGTTAGATTGGCTGACCTTTTAGATCTTGCTCTCCCTTCTTGAAGATGATTCAGAAAAGCAGATTGAAAATTGCTGAGTCCACTAAAACAGGCTGATCTCCATTCTACCCGCTCCAAGGCTAAGCGCTCAAGGGTGTTAGGTGGTATATATAAGTGATGAATACTTGCCTACCTTTGTCGGATGGGGTGATATGAGACGCCGAAGAAGAAAAAGTGGCATCTGCACATCCCACAATAACAGAGTTTCAACAGTGCCGTGCGGCGTGAACCACACCCTCAATGAGCCAGGAGAAACAAAAGAAACAAATTGCCAACTGGATATATCGGGTACTTTTAAAAAGTCGGGGTAACAAAACATCCCATGTGACTAATGCTGGGTTAATTAGAGAAGCATTTTTAAATCAAATCATGGCTAGACTTATTACGGTGAACGTCTAACGCAGCAAATTCCAAATTGTATCGTCCCCTCCCTTTCATGCGTGCGTATAAATATATATATTACAGTGAGGTTCACCCTGTATAAAGCCCTGGAGCCACTCGAGGTAGAAAGTTATAGAGTAAGCGACACAGTTTATGCGGATATGTGGCGAAGATAACGGTTCAACCGAGACTTGAAGAGCAGTAGTTCGTGGGCAGCAGCTAATGGCGTGGAACTTGCTTCTGACCACTGGAATACTCAGAGGTAATAAGAGGGGTTCCTTGTAATGTGCGTAAAATGGCGGGTTCGAACCATGAAGGTTGGATCTGTTGTAACTAAGGAAAATTGTTCGTCTGAGTACTTTGAATGGAAGTAGCGACAGAGTATTGAGTCTTGGTACATCTCGCCTCTCTCTCTCTCTCTCTCTCTCTCTCTCTCTGTGTGTGTGTTAGAGAAGGAGAGATAGAAGATAAAAGGACTGAGACAAACAGATAGATAGATAGATAGATAGATAGATAGATAGATAGATAGATGTATGGGGACATCATTTTTATATAAAAAAAGGAAAAAATATTACATATTATCTTTATCATAAGCTTCACTTTATGATATATGAGTTTAGAAAAAAAAATGACTATTTGACGACGGAGTTTGATGCATCAATGAATGGCCGAAATAAATAAATAAATTAAAAAAAAAACTTATTCCAGTCTTGTACAACCGATGGCTGTAAATGTATGCACTTAATAAAGACAACAAATAGTTGTTTGCGTAGACGCATGCGCACGGATCTTTTTCATGTTCTGTTTTCATGAATACCTTACTCTTTCATTGATGTAGGCTTTTGCCGCGAAAATCTGCCTAGTATTCATCTCAAGAGGTCTTCGTTCAAACGAATGGAAATTAAATTATTTTACAAATGTAATAGGCGCTCTCCTGTGTGAAACGGTAAAAAGGTTTTATATGTAAATGCAGGGTTATCATTTATATATTTATTTAGACGTTCAATTTGTCCCTAGAGTTTCAAATATGGAAAATCCGGTATCAGAATTCTATGCTTGTTTTCCTTTTCATCAAGCTTCTTTCATTTTCCTATTTTAACTTTTATATCTTTCGTGGTAATATAATTATATTACAACGTTTTGTTGCCGGCTATCGTGTTTATCTTGTAATCGGATGCATATGCAATTAAAATGTATTTGAAATCGAGTCAGCACTGGAAATGTTGTTACGCCATGAATATATATATATATATATATATATATATATATATTTAGTTTAAAAATATGATTCCTTTGCTACATGAGAGTTCTCATGTTTCAAAAACGAGAGCCGAAATAATCCCAATAATTATTAAAATTAACGAATTTATTCCTAAAATTTCGCTTGAAGATGAAATTTTAGGAATAAATGTATTATAATATAAGCTCTACTTCTGTATGGAGCACTGTCTTCTTAAAAATAAAAGCAAAAATACTAAGGAACTCCGGATTATGCACCCAACGTGTTCTTTTCTATTTTCTGCTTACCTATGCACTTATACATTATATATATATATATATATATATATATATATATATATATATATATATATATATATATATATATATATATATATATATATATATATATATATATATATATATATATATATATATATATATATATATATATATATATATATGTGTGTGTGTGTGTAAAGATAGATAAATATGAGGCGTATAAAAATACTTTTACAAACTTTGGGGACGGGATCCTTATACCAAAACAAGGACAAAAGTCCACATAAACATATGTACGTAATTCCTTCGTTTTCGACTTATTAAATTTTAAAATTATGGTAGACATTGCTAAACGTACAATCCAAGATACAATCCAAAAATATTTTACTAATTTTGGAAGCCGTTTACAGATACCAAAATAAGGTAAAATGGCGGTGTTTATATATGTCCAAAAAGCGATCGTTGTGCCGCAACATAGTAATTCATAACAAATGTCACAAAATGTACTCCGCTTGATTCTACATGCGCATGCACCCGTCAGATCACTGACTGCTGGACCCTTTCAAATAATCCAACATGGCGTTGACACATTTTATATATTCTTTTCTGGAACCCGGCCCCAAATTTCGTAAAAGTATTATTGATATAAACTGTACAATCGTTTGTGAGCTTATAAATACACAAGCACACACACACACACACACACACACACACACACACACACACACACATCTTATATATATATATATATATATATATATATATATATTATTCACACAAAAACAAATGCAAAGGTTAATGATTTAATTGGCGATAAATCCATCGTCGCAAACAATTCAAATAATATACAAAAACCTGTAGGAACAGACGAAAGCTTGTAGTAAAAATAAGAACTAATGCGGCAGAAATTTATAGAAAAAAAGGATCATTTCATTCATAACGGATTCGGAGGTTTTTGTATATTATTTGAATTGTTTGCGACGATGGATTTCTCGCCAATTAAATCATTAACCTTTGCATTTGTTTTTGTGTGAATAATTCATGAATTTGTAAATTGATTGCACGTTTATCGAAATTAAAATAACTGATCCAAGTGCGACATTTGGATAATAAGTGCGACATTACTGTAATTATTGAACAATATAGTTCATGCCACTTTGACAGAAAATTTACCAGTAAAAAATTCTTTTATCACCATATTTGTACATGAACGCACAACTGTAAAAAAATTAAAATCAAACTCAGCGTTGCTATTGCACGCTCCAAAAACAATAACTCATTTCCAATAGCATTTTCGGATACAACAATACATATATTTTCGTTGTCCTCTTATTACTAAGAGAAAAAACAAGAACAACATCTATTCCATACCTGAAGATGTCTGTAGGAACAGACGAAAGCTTGTAGTAAAAATAAGAACTAATGCGGCAGAAATTTATAGAAACAAGGATCTTTTCATTCATAACGGATTCGGAAGTTTTTGTATATTATTTGAATTGTTTGCGACGATGGATTTCTCGCCAATTAAATCATTAACCTTTGCATTTGTTTTTGTGTGAATAATTCATGAATTTGTAAATTGATTGCACGTTTATCGAAATATATATATATATATATGTATATATATATATATATATATACACACTTTATGTATGTATGCGTGTGTGCATGTGATTGGTTAAAAAATTCAAGTGGAGCATATCTGTAAAAGGAAAATTTGAATAAAGACAAAAGGAAAACTTAGTCGAAACGTTTCGTTCTATGGGGAATTGTGTCAAGATAAATGTTTGTATTTAAAAATTTTCACAAGTATTTATGCACAAGAGCAAACATGTTATTGGTTTTAAATCCTCACATTTGCCTTGATGAAGTCCCTCAGAGTAAGAAACGCGTGGGTTGATATAAGATTTAATTTTGTTGTTTTTCATTTTTTTATGTGTATATATATATATATATATATATATATATATATATATATATATATATATATATATAATGCTGTCTATAGTGGAGAGTGCTCAATATCCGAGACTGAGCTAAGATATGCGGTTGCATAGGTAGTAGTTTTGAAGATCGCGAAAACGAAAATACATACAAACACTCACACACGCAAACACACACACAAATACATACATATGCGCGCGCAATTATGCCAATATCGAATATTTCATATCCATTCGTGTATAGGTTTTAAAATTACGCCTTCGCATCATTTACAAGACCTGACTGAGCAAGTTTTAAACATAATTCGATGTTAGTTTAAAAAAAAAATTAGAATTAAAATATTTCATTTTTATTTATTTTTCTCCTATTCGTTTTACATTGAATAACATATTGATCAGTGATCACGTTGACTCTGTAAGATTGATCGATAACAGAAAAAAGGAATATGCTTCATAGATAGATAGATAGATACATAGATAGCTTTGGCATAGGAATGAAACCGGTCGATCTCTAAAAGTTTAAAAATCTTCCTTCATAAATATAACAAAATTAACACACACGCTCAGGATAGATAGATAAATAGATAGATAGATAGAATGAGCTAGATAGACAGACAGACAGACATAGATAGAATGAGATACATAGATAGATTGACAGACAGACATGGATAGAATGAGATAGATAGATAGATAGACAGACAGACAGACATGGATAGAATGAGATAGATAGATAGATAGATAGATATGAATAGAATGAGATATATAGATAGATAAACATTGATAGAACATTGATAGAATGAGATAGATAGATAGATAAAAAAGCGAGAGATCTTACCTATGATTATATTTAAAGCTATGGTGGTATAAGAATTCATCTGGAGATATATATATATATATATATATATATATATATATATATATATATATATTATTATAGGATTATTTTCCATCTTATCCAAGATGTTATTCACCCGCTCTAATCATCTAACTTTCTGTCCTGGCGTAATAAGTTACCTGACGGTTTTCACGTATGTTTACATTTTCAAGTCTTTTTCCCTGCATTTTGGACTGTCATACCTCCCCATAAAAAGCAACTAGCATAAACACGCGAACTCTCAACTAAAAAATTGATTGTCCTATTACAAAATAGTTATTATGGTTAACTTTATATATTTTGCAAAAGCAAACTCTTCAACAAAAAATATTTTCTATAGTGAATTAAAAAATATTAAACACTCATTAATAATGTCTTTCTTAATTACATCGTTGATGGACAATTTAGACGAGGTATTGGGAATATTAACATAAATAAATACGAACATAATGCGTTCACAAATAAATTTAAACATATCAATCTACTATACCGTAATCATATACATTCTAACTATCAGCTGGAGGAAAAAAAATTCTAAAAAAATCTCATAAACGGTAATATATCCTCCATTAACCCAAGTAAAAAAAATAAAATTAATTGTATATTATACTAAATTTAATACAACCAACCTAGTTATCCATAACAACTTTTCTCCGTCAACTTACAAAAGACCAACATCGCATATAAATTTAAATATCCTCTGGACGATTGCTTCTCTGATAAAAATGTTAATATGTATATTGGTTTTACAACTACGACGATGACGAGAAGGCTTAAGTTTCACTTGAACAATGATAGTTCAATCTCAGAACATTTAAAAAGATCACTTATGTTCACATTCTCAGTTTAGACATATAGTAGCCAAAAGTAAATCAGTGGTTTATCAAGATAATAATAAGCAACATCTTAAAATTCTGGAAGCCCTTTATATAAGTGTTGAAACTTGACTAATGCATGGAATAATAATTCAACACAAAATGTACTTAGAACAAAATGTATTGAAACAAGAAAGCGTACACAATATTTACATTTTTTGTATATTCTTGGGAAGACCGTTCCTGGAGAATGTATTGACTGAGTCGCAGTCGGGCAGAGTCTCTGGTTGAATCTCTTGATTCCTCCCTCTCTTCCCGGTACCAACCATATTTATATGGTTGGTACTGCACTATGCAAATTAGGTGGATCCTACCACAACGATAAGACAATTGCGGCGAAAAATAAGTAAAATCAACCATGAGTATAGCAACAAAATTCTTAAATATTGATAGCAGTAAGGTGTTATATAAAAAATTCTAAATTAAAATATTACAATTAATTTTTTTTTAAAAATCACATAAGTTACCGCCCTTACATAACGGTCAAAAATATTTTGAATTTACGGTGTTAACGTATCAAACGTGTTAACGTTAATCAAAAGACATGCTAGCCATGAAGATTGTCTCAGATGAGATTGAAAATACTTGGGAAAATAAAACTATTTGAAAGAAAATTTGGGTAATTTTATTGATCAGTTTTCAACATCCACCAAGAAATTAATTCGTGAACAGTAAAGAAAACTAAAATAAATAAACATAATACGTCTAGATTATATAAACACACATGCTTTAATGAAAATATGCTGCCTAAGCATATATATTCTTGATGTACACCAGAGAAGCTCAATTCTATGGGCATGAAAATGACATATACATACAACTCAATGGATTTCTGTACGTTATATATATATATATATATATATATATATATAAGTGTGTCTGTATGTGTCTGTGTGTGCGTGTGTTTATTACTTAATTGGTTTATTTTCATCCGGCATTTTTATTAATTCAAACATTATTTTTAGTGGATAGCTGTATTTGAAATAGACACTTCGTTTGTTTTTGTTTTGTTTTGTTTTTTAAACTTGCATATTATATCTATCGACATATTAAGATTTTTCGATTGCGCATGCCGCTAGGCGTAATACACACTGTTTAAAATGAAAAAAAGGGTGTGAATATTTCTAACACTTGTATACACTAAAACTAATGGTTGAATTAATAGATAGATAGATAGATAGATAGATAGATAGATAGATAGATAGATAATGAAAAGGCTGAGATAGATAATGAAAAGATTGGGATAGATAGATATATAGATAGATATATAATGAAAAGATTGAGATAGATAGATAGATAGATAGATAGATAGATAGATAGATAATGAAATGGTTGAGATAGATAGATAGATAGATAGATAGATAGATAGATAGATAATGAAAAGGCTGAGATAGATAATGAAAAGATTGGGATAGATAGATCGATCGATAGATATATAATGAAAAGATTGAGATAGATAGATAGATAGATAGATAGACAGACAGATAATGAAAAGTTTGAGATAGATAATGAAAAGATTGAGATAGATAGACAGATAGATAGATAATGAAAAGGTTGAGATAGATAGATAGATAATGAAAAGGTTGAGATAGATAGATAGATAGATAGATAATGAAAAGTTTGAGATAGATAGATAAAGAAAAGGTTGAGATAGATAGATAATGAAAATGTTGAGATAGATAATTAAAAGATTGAGATAGATAGACAGATAATGAAATGGTTGAGATAAACAGATAGATAGATAGATAGATAGATAGATAGATAATGAAAAGGTTGAGATAGATAATGAAAAGGTTGATATATATATATATATATATATATATATATATATATATATATATATATATAGATAGATAGATAGATAACGAAAACATTGAGATAGATAGATAGATAGATAGATGAATAGATAGATAGAGAGAGAGAGAGAGAGAGAGAGAGATCGTGTTTATATTCTGAGTGCACAGGTTCACGCGACATAAGCTGTTGAAGTAAAACAGAAATAAGAAACGTATGCTATTGATAAGCCAGGTTGATGTATCAAGTCTTTGCAGGCGATATGTCATCCTGATTGTGTTGAAAGGCTGCAATCGATAAATCTGCTGTTGAGGTAGCATATTTCGTTCCGTTCTTCTTTTTGTATTTCTTATTTTAATGTGTTATCTGTCTTCTTTCTCTTTTGCTTCGTGTACTGCATGAAATATTTTGCTTAACTCTGCTGCATATACACCTCCAATTAAAATAAAAACGCATTCATAAACAAAACAAAAAATATAACTTATTTTTACAGATCAATTATTAAGACAACATGTCGCAGTTACCTAGTGTTATTTTTAACCGTGAAACTAGTTAATGTCACATCTCGTCACAAGTCCCGTAACGCAGGTGTGCCTTAAGGACACCGTATGTACTGCAGGCATAGTATCAGTGATGCGTCACACTTCGGGCAGGATCTTTCCCCTCACTTGTTTCCATCTCAAGGCAAATGAAACCCTTTTGCCACGCTGTTTAACACTTCGGCTGCTAACTACTGAGATGTTCGTTTTTCTTATCTTGCTCCAGCTGGCTAAGTACGGAAACCTACGTTTTTTGCATACCACTGGTATGAGTGTCTCGTTGCGCCATCTATCGTAAAATCACAAAGGACAATGCTTCAAAAGATATCATGTGTATACCCATTACTGATCTGGTAAGTCATTGCCAGGTATATCCATGAAAATTGAATGCTGTAAAACACACTGGTGCCAGTTTTCTGTGTAATAAAATATGTAAGTTGAAATTTGGCATTTTCCTTAAAAATGGCTGGCCGGATGGGGGTAGTACTGGGCAAATGAGTCGCAGTGAAAGTCTTAATACATAGCTATAGAGAGATGGGTTCATACAGAACCACTTTAGATATCCAACTGAAGCAACATGCTCAACTGATACTACGTTTTAACGAGAAAGAGAAAATCATACCACGAACAAGTTGTTGATTTTCCACAATAAACTGAACAGAAGTTTAGTAAGGCAACACTTATCTGAAGTAGACAGAGCAATAACCGTTTGTAGATATGAGGGCAAGATGTTTTTTTTTTAGCTTTTTTTAAGAAGAACGATATTACACCGGAAATAGACAGAACAATAACCGTCAGTAGATATGAGGGCAAGATGATTTTTTTTAACTTTTTTTAAGAACGATATTACACCGGAAGTAGATAGAGCAATAACCGTTTGTAGATATGAGGGCAAGATGTTTTTTTTAAACTTTTTTAAGAAGAACGATATTACACTCGGTGTGAAATTTGCGGTTTCATGTGATAAGCACTGACACTAAATTTCGAAGCATAACTTCACCAATTTTTGAGCATTTAGTTTTAGATATCGTCTGAAAAATGCACAGAAATATCGAATTTCTGCAGGTTTTTACTGACAAACCGACTTTAGAATTTTACTATTTCAAGAATAAATCAAAATAAAGTTAAAATCTTTTGTATTTGATGAAATGAATGGAAAATATATTCAAACCCAAATTCTAATCATGAATCTCCACAAGCAAAATATGCGCTTTTTTGCTGTATTCGATGAGTAAAAACTGTGTAAAAGAATTGTGAAAGATTAATAAAAGTGTAATCAATGAACAAGATTTGTTAGATCATTTGTTAGATCATAATTAACAAAAATAATAAATAGATAAAAAGTATATATAACCACCATAATGATGCTGGTCAGCGATTATAATACAAAATGTTTTAAATTTGCATTATTTAAAAATCACACTAAAACTCTAAGAGTTTTAAATATTACATTATAATATAGCTAAATTCTTCAGTATAATTCCTCTTTGAAGAAAACGAAGGTCTTATTTGATGGCACAATTATTTAGTGATTTTCCAAGCATAACTTGGATGTGGCACAAGGTCGAAGGTAAGGGACACACAACGAGGATTGAACTCACTACTCATTGTTCTAACGAGACAAGCTTGCTAACCGTTACACCACCTCGAGGCACCCAGGCACAATTATTTAATAATAATTTGCCTGTGCCATGCCTCTTGTCTATACAGAATTTGTATATGGACAAGATATCACCTTAATATATAACCTTCAGTGATGAATATATGAGATATAATTTTCAATATATTACCTTCAGTAACGGATAAATTTTATAAAGCTGTGATATAAGGCTTCCGGCGATTAATGCAACGAAATTCCAAATTTACGATTTTGAAGTTAAACGTAATCTTTAAACACGTTTCCTCAAAAAAAGACAAATAAAGCCCCCCCAAAAAAAAACAAATGGTAATTATATGGAAAAAATATTTTGAGTCTTTATTTTGGATATAAAATCCCAACATTAAAATTGAGTGTAATTGCACGATTTCATAATCGACCTGCCGTTGTCGACGGTCTCCTGAAAAAAAAAATATTTAAGAGTATGTTATAAATTTCAACCGGTATTTACATTAACGATTTAGTCAATGAATGCCGATTGTTCGCTTATGAAAACGGTTGATCTTACCATTGCCATTAATATGAGGGGAACAAAACAGTATCTAGTAAAAATTGAACTCAGAATGCCTACTTCCCTTTTCATGACAGTAACCGCGCCGCTATCCTCGCCCGAAATTTCTTAGACACAAGGTCAGATGTATGACACATCATGTCGTGATCGATCTCACTATATTCGTGATAGTTTGAAATATGAGCTTGTTAAATGTCATTTAGACGGAATTAAATATCACTTACTTGGATTCTTTGAGATTTCGTCTTCTCTGTTCCGTGTCCCTTCAGGACGTGAAGGACCACGGACCTCCACAACCTCCTATCTCATTTAAATCTTACTGGCTATTGTAACTTTATCAACATCCCCTCCTCCATTCCACCATCCATTTGCACATGCTCTCCCGGTAGGTCGCTCGCTTCCTTGGCCTTCCTATTTTGCCATCGATATTCTCAGTAAGTATCAAATTCGCCAAGCCTTCCTTCCTCATTATGTGCCCAATAAATTTCAGCGTGTCTATTTATGATTCTGTGTATGAGTGTCCTTTTTGTTTTTACGATCCTTAAGTCTTCTTTGTTGCTCAGGAACTCGGTATGCACAGGATCCATCTGTAGAACCACATTTCTGTTGCCTCTAGATTTCTCTTCATCTGTGATGAGATTTTAAAGCGTTCATTGCCATATAGAAAGATTGGTATAACATAACATTTCAGCACTCTTCCTTGGTTCTAATTATTTTTTTCCTCTTTCTCAGTAATTCACTTACTAATCGGCAGGTATCTGTGTCTATGTCAACGAGCGTTCGAATTTCGCTAACACATATTGAATCCCATGTTAAAAAAAATCACAACCTCAATATTTAAGCGTTTTTAATTTTTTTTTTTAACGTTTCGCCCCAGGAAATGACAGACGAGAACGCAGGTGATTACAAGGAGTGAAAGAGAAATAAGGTGAAAAGACTGTGAATGTGCTTTCATTAATCCTTCCTATTCACACATGAAAGCACAAAAAAGGAATAGGCTTCAAGTAAACGGAATATGGTGATTGAGGTTGCATTTTCATTTTCGAAGAATGTAGTTATCAGAGAAGAAAGTAATCGGAAGGGAGTTCCACAGGTGGGAAGTGCGAGAACAGAAACTGTTAGAGTAGAAGTTACGGTTGCATCTACAGTTGCGACCAAAATGTTCAGAACGACATTGTTTTCGTCAAAAAAGTAGGTATAAGTTTTTATCAAACTTGTTTTATATTCTATAATTTTAACAAACAATAAATACGATATTTATTTTTATTGTCTGAGATTTTGGTGTAATTTGAGAGGATAATACAAAAGTTATGGATGATTTAGTGACTTACTGCAAAGCCCATGGCGGCCAAAATGATCAGAACGGTTGAAAAAATAACAAAATAATTAAAAATGACAGAGGGTACTGGAATTATTTAATATTTAGTGTGAAGCACTTTAGCTTCAATCACAATTTGACATCTTCGACTTCATGAGGAAATTAAATTTTCTGACGAAAACAATGGCGTTCTGAACACTTTGGCCGCAACTTTAGCTAGTACAACACTAAAACGGTAAGACTTAGTTACCAATCTAGTAGCATACGTCACATCGGTGAGAAAGTGACTGAAATCTAGATGCTTTGTCAAGATCGATTACATTACAGAGGTTGTTTTTTTTAATATTGCCAAAAATCTCGGAATGTACCACCATATCAACAGAGCAGATATGGCAACAATATTTAATGCACGGACGAATTGTAGATTTATAAATGTGCTAGACAGATTGTGGCAAGAAAAGAATTTTGGCACGTCACAGTGAATTAATATTCCTTATACGAATCAATTGATCCAATATAGTCGCTACACTTCAGGTCAGTGGAAAACGCGACGCCAAGAAAGCGTAGAGTATTGTTCTACTTTAGTTTAGCATCAGCCATGCTGATAGCAGACAGAAAAGATTCCCTGTGGTTGAATTAAGCAGTTTTCTTTTTGGAGGCGTCAAAATTTACAAACAATTTCTTCGGTTAACCGCGGATTGGAGGTTTCTTTGCAAACACAGCTGCCAGATTTTCTGTGTCAGGTCTGTTGGATTTGCTACTGAGACTGGAGTAAATAGTTGTCATGTGCATAAATACCTAGGTGGGAACTGATGACATCGGGGACCCCCGCGTTAGTATGAAAAGATCTGGAACCGTGTATGGAATGATGTGTGTATAGGGGTATAGATCAATTTTACAAACAAACATAGGTTCTAAAAAGGCATTGCGAGAAACACAGATGATATGGAGATGCTTAACTTTATTTTTTTCTTTTCATTTCTAGCATCTGATTTGTCTAGAAGCGAAGTCCAACCGATTTTATTAAGCATTTCCTCGATTCTGTTTTTTTTATTTTCTGGCTGTTGCCTTTATTTAAGGAAGTGTAAATATTGTATGAGATTGGACGAAATGAATCTGAAATTAGTGCACTTTATATATATATATATATATATATTCGGTATTAATGAATTGCTTTCTTTTATTTAAAACAACGTTTTTAGTTCAAAATGATAACAAATCCATATACAAAAACCAATATATAT